ATTATTTAATAATAATTGTCCAATTTATTCCTATCATTAACCTACAAATGAGAGTTACAAAATCATAAGTCTTATAAATAAAATATTTATTTGTTAAATAAATAAGATGTTTATTTGTTAAAAAAAAAAAAAACAGAGTTCCTCCATATTCTTTTGTCTTTCTTACCTTATTATATTTTCTAAATATTCTTGGGTAAATAAGAATGTTTTTGAGTTAGGTAACTTTATGAATAATGTAAACTCATAGAGTTAGCTTTTCATATCTATTTTGATAATATTTTTTATTGATATTTTTTAGTAAGTTCATTAATTATTATTTTATTTAATCTTGTGACTGAAACATAATAATAACATTACGTGGAGATGAAAAAGAATGCTCGTGGAACAACAGATGGCTGTGGCGAAGTCCCCTTCTTGGCGAGCCTTCAAGATTTTGAATGTGAGATTCAAGAGGAGCTGATTCCTAGCTTTCTGCTTAGTGACCATGTCCTGTCTAAGCTGCACGCATTGCTCATTGATGTGTTTCAACTTTTCTCTCAAATCTCTCTGGTCTTTCCGAATTCGCTTCTGATCCATACTTATGTACATAAGTCCTTCATCTTCAATCTCAATCGCTTCATATTCCCTCTAACCGCGTTCTGCTGCCTTAGTAATAAGGATGTAGAAAGCCTTCGCGCCATGGGCTTCAATTGAACTGATTAGTAGATGATCAGATTGTATTCTTCCAACATTATTCCAATAAGCTGATCTTAGTATATATAATAATCATGATTCAAACCGCCTTCTTTGGGAAAGGGGGATTCGGTGAAAAAACTTAAGTCGGTGAAATGACGGTGATAATGTTCCTGGAGTGCTGGGCAGGCTTTTTCGCGTTCATCGCATTGATATACTGTCGGAAATACATATAATTAGCATTATGATGTAAAAAACTGGGAAAAGGAGATTCGGAGAAGAAACCTACAGTAAGTCGGTTTATAAACGCGTAGAATGTTCTTGCTTCAAGATGTAATGGATGACGGCCATAATGTTCGCGGCGTGCTGGGCAAGGCAAGCTTTGACGGGTTCATCGGAAATGTATATAACATGTTAGGATGGTAAAAAAGAATTAATTTATCGGGTGGTAACTGCAAAGGAACGATTAAATCTTTTGGGAAATGTTCGCCTTTTCTTTTAACAAGAATGAATTATATATAATAATATAATTATAATTATAATTCTGTCATTGTCAAAACTTGTATTAATATATAAACTTAGTATGGTGCAAATAATTCCTCCAATAAGTTTGGAAAATGTAAAATATGTGTATTTATAACTCATTTGACTCGATTGTCTTCATTGACAAGGTATAGATGGTCAACATTGTTAACATTGAATAAAGATAACGTAAACGGTACAAGGTACAGACCACATACAGGCCCAAAGAAACAGGCCCACAGAGCAGTCTTTTCGCCAGAGATTCTTCATAATTCGCATGAGGATGAATGTTCGAGAGTACGTCCCCTTCTTCATCAGACTCTTCGCTAGAAATTTCTAAACCTCTGTTGCTTGAGAGATTGAGGAAGTTTGCAACTTTGCAGGCAACTTTAACTGCAAACCTCGCGAGAAGTTCGTAGGGTTTCCAAGAAAACTATGAGATTTGTTGGTTGAGAAACTTCTTTCAAGTGAGATATAATATATATTTTAAATATGTAAACTGCATTATACATTCTGCACTGGCAGGATAACTATCCTTGGCGCTTAGAACAGTAAATCATTCTAAATCATTCTAACATGACAACCATAAACAAAGTTCAGTATCTATTAAGTCCGCAATTAAACACAATAAAACTTGAAATGAAAAACAGAGAGTTTAACGATAAGCAGAATAGAGAACACCACAGCATCTGGTTCAACCAAAAGAGAAAAAAAGGAAGATAGAACATAATAACTACCAGCTTAATCCTATCGATAATTATTCCTTATTTATCCATTATATTGATCCCCTGCCTTTGTTCCTTATTTGTCCGTTATATAGATCCCTGCCTTTGCTCATTCTGCCTGGTCAGTATTGTGCTGCAAAATAGATGAAGTACAAAGAAAAGGTCAAGCAGAATTTCCCTTTTATTTTAGCATGGAAAAAACAAAGGAACAAGATGAAGATTGAGGAACTAAACCAACCGAAGCAATTGAGCAAGCTGGGTGGCCTTAAGAAAATCGCCTTCTTCGCGGGCCTTTAGGATTTTGAACATTAGACACAGATTAAGCTTGCTCGCAGCACTCTGCCTGATCATGAGGTCCGTATCTTTCCTGAGTTGTGTACATTCAGCTTCAATGGCTTCGAGTTTTCCTCTGACTTGTTTCTGTCCTTCCTTGATGCTCTGTTGATCCTTACTGATCTCTTGCATCTCTGCTTTCAGCCTTCGGAAGCCAGCCTTCAGATTTTTCATCGCAGACTTTCTCTGCCCAGACAATTGATCACGAAACAGTTAAAAGTTTCAATAAAGTTGTTTGTGGGTGTACATGTTGTTTTACCTTGTAAAAATAACAGTAATAACATCATAGAGTATAACACAAATATTTAAAGTATAATACAAACATTATCGTCGCCAATTTCCAGTCACTCAATTCTAGAACATTTATTTCAAAAAAGAATATTTTTATTAGATTATTTGTTCATTAACCATAATAATAGCCTATATTAAACAACAAACAACAACTAGGCTGTCTCTTGAGACGAGAACTGTCTCTAAGATTGAGAGGATTTACCCCACCATAGAGCAACCCCAACATTTTGTCACTGCCTTCCCTCCCTTCTTGCTTCCTCTGCTTTGTTTAAAACCTTTCATCCCCGAAACATTTCAAACCCTTGTACCCATAAATCCCCGAATCCAAACCCAAACAACAGTCCATATCAACTTCTCAAAATGCATACAGAGCATCTAGAATTTAAGTGGAGATATCTGCTCTTGGGTGAAAATGAGCTGAGCCACTCATGATGGGCAAATATCAAGCTTGCAATCCATCTGATAAAAAATTAAACAAGCTACGCTCAAGTATTGACACAATTCTTCTTCTTTTTTCCTTTTTCTTTTTTCTTTTTTCTTTTTCTTTTTTTGGCTTGTAACATATTCATTTTATGTAAACAAACTTGGTTTCAACTTCAAGTTAAGTTTGACATCAACTTGTTCATATTAAAAGATTTTACTAAAATTATAGTTTGATATGAAAATAATCAAGTTAAAGTTCAACACTTGAATTTGAATTCAAATATCTTGTTTAATAAGTAAAACTCAAGTGAGGAATAAGTTCAAATGAAGCTGTAATTCCAAGCTAGCTAAAAATTCTAAAGTTCAAGCTCAATCGTTGAACTAAAATGTTGAATTACAACTCTGATTGCTTCCAAAATATTTAAATAAATTAAATTAATTCTGTTTGTAAATAGTTAAAAAAAAAAAACAAATACAAAACTTTTAATTTTGAGAAATTTCTAAAAATTAGGCACTAATTTCATTTTTAAAAAAATGAACCTATTCATAATATGATTCAATGAATCAAGCATCTAATCTTTTAAAATTAAGAGATTATGATGTTTTAAGATTTATCAAATCATAGATTTCATTTTCAAAACAATTCTACATTCAAAATAAAATCAATCATTTCGTTCCATCAAAAAAATAACTCAATAAAAAAAATTAAACTTTCTCAACATGCAATGAATTAATGAAATTTATCAATTTCTTCCATAGTTGATCAAACTACAAAATTGTTTGATTTCCTCTACCACCTCTTATTAGTCCAATTCCACCAACATATTTCTCTAATTCCTTATTGCATGCGAATTTCGACTGAAAAAATAAAAAAACCCTAAGCTATTGAAAAAAAAAAAAAATCAACTCAATACCTTTCGCTTGTTTCGTAACTTCAAGATTGTACTCCTAGACATTGAATTAGTACCGAAGAGATGACGATTCAACGAAAATAAAGTCATGTTCCCGATAAAAATGGTTTCTCTCAAAAAATGCCTCCACTTTGATTATCGTTATCTTGAAAAAAACGAGTTTATAATCTCAACAGATTATATGAATGAATAAATGGAAAAACATCCGCAGCTCCACACGACCCCTCACGTTTTCTATGATTTGGTTGTGTATGGTTGAACGTCCTCGTGCTATATAAGTTATTGTAATCTTGAATCAAGCCGCCTTCTTGGAGAAAGGGGGATTCGTAGGAAAAACCTTAAGTCGGCGATGATGTCCCCTGGAGTGCTGGGCAAGGCAAGCTTTGACGGCAAGGTTTTGAAAACCGAACCGGACCGGCCGGTCGAACGGTTGAACCGGTAGTATAAATGGTTCGGTTCTATCCTTTAAACCATTTGAAAATCAAACCATTTGAAAACCGGTAAGAACCGTTGGAACCGCTCAAACCGAAAAACCGTTCGACCGGACGGTTCAATGCTTGAGAACAAAAGCTTGAGAAATTTGTCCCCCATGAAGCTTGAACTTGCAACCTTGAAGTCCTTTTAGTTTATTCCAACCTTTTACCACCAGGACAATGCACCCCGTTGGTCAATGGATGCTTGAAATGTTATTTATTTAATAGAAATTTCAAAACTTTTAACCAAATTATTTATGACACAACTATGGGATTCGAACACCCCTTCTCTACGTTATTAAGCACAGTCTCTTCCACTCGAGACACAAGCTTTTGTTTGCAAATTTTTGTTTCATAATATATTTAGTCTATTTTTAAAACCATATTTATTTAAAGTTTGTTCATAAAAGTACTCGAACTTGTGATCTTTGGTATGAGAAAACAATCACCTACCATCGCACTCAATGGATATCTTGTGAAATACTTTATAAAGTCATTATTTATACTGTATTAATGAACCGACAGTTTTATCAATTAAACTAATTAAACCGATCAAATCATGAACCAAAAGTCAAAATGATTTGACCTCCAATTTGGATTTAAAAACATTGTTTGATGGTTATATATTACGATAGTAGCATAGAATTCATTTAATTCAGGCGGTAACTGCTAAGCAATGATCAAATCTTTTGGGAAATGTTGCCTTTTCTTTTAACATGAATTATATATAATAATAATAAAGTTATAATTATAACGTTGAATAACTCATCCAACAAGTTTCGAAAATGTAAAATATGTGCCTTTATAATTAAGATTCATTTGACCCGATTGTCTTCGTTGCCAAGAAATTGAAAGTCAATAATATTATTAAGGCAAAACCATAAGTTAAGCCCCTGAACTAACGCCAGAATCGCTATTAAACCCCTAGACTTTAATTGATGCAGTTAAGCCCTTGAACTCTGGGATCAAAGCAATTAAGCCCTTCTTCTTAAGCAATTTATTTTAAAAATTAAAGTCTAGGAGCTTAATAGCGTAAGAAGAAGGGCTTAATTGCTTTGATCCCAGAGTTCAAGGGCTTAACTGCATCAATTAAAGTCTAGCGGCTTAATAACGATTCTGGGGTTAGTTCAGGGGCTTAACTTATGGTTTTGCCTATTATTAACATTGAATAAAGATAACGTAAATGGTACAGGGTACAGCCCACATAAACAGGCCCAAAAAAACAGGCCCACAGAGCAGTCTTTTCGTCAAAGATTCTTCACAATTCGCATGAGGGTGAACGCTCGGGAGAACGTCCCCATTTTCATCGGTCTTCGCTAGAAAATTCTATAATTCTGTTGCTTAAGAGATTGAGGAAGGTTCCGACTTTGCAGACAACTTTACCCGGAAATCTCACGAGAAGTTTAGGGTTTCCAAGAAAACAATGAGTTTTGTTGCTTGAGAAACTATTTTCCAGTGAGATATAATTTACATTTTAAATATGTGAACTGCATCATACATTCTGTATTGGAAAGATAACTCTCCTTGGCGCTTAAAACAGTAAATCATTCTAACATGACAAACATAAATAAAATTCAAAATCCACCAAGTCTGCAATTAAACGCAATAAAACTTGAAATGAATGACAGAGTTTAATGATAAGCAGAACATCTGGTTCCACTAAAAGAGAAAAAAACAAGAACATAGAACATAATAACAACTAGCTTAGTCCTATTGACAATTATTCCTTATTTGTCCATTATATAGATACCCTGCCTTTGTTCCTCATTTTTCCATTATATAGATACCCTGCCTTTGCTCATTCTGCCTGGTCAGTATTGTGCTGCAAAATAGATAAAGTACAAAGAAAAAGTCAAGCAGGATTTCCCTCTTACTTTAGCATGGAAAAAGCAAAAGGAACAAGATGAGGATTGAGGAACTAAACCAACCGAAGCAATTGAGCAAGCTGGGTGGCCTTAAGAAAATCGCCTTCTTCACGGGCCTTGAGGATTTTGAACATGAGACACAGATTAAGCTTGCTCGCAGCACTCTGCTTGATCATGAGGTCTGTATCCTTCCTGAGTTGTGCGCATTCAGCTTCAATGGCTTCAAGTTTTTCTCTGACTTGTTTTTGTCCTTCCTTGATGCTTTGTTGATCCTTACTGATCTCTTGCATCTCTGCTTTCAGCCTTTGGAAGCCAGTCTTCAGATTTTTCATCGCAGACTTTCTCTGCCCAGACAATTGAACACGAAACAGTTAAAAGTTTCATTAAAGTTGCTTGTGGGTGTACATGTTGTTTTACCTTATAAAAATAACAGTAAGAACATCATAGAGTATAACACAAATACTTAAAGAATAATACAAACACTGCCACCCATTTCCAGTGACTCAGTCCGAGAACATTTATATCAGAAAAGCAGATTACTAGTAGACAACTTGTTCATTAACCATAACAATAGTTGGTATTAAACAACAAACAACAACTAGGCTCTCTCTTGAGACGAAAACTTCTCTCTCTAAGATTGAGAGGATTTACCCCACCATGGGGCAACCTCAACATTACTGACTTCCCTTCCCTCTTGCTTCCTCTCCTTTGTTTAAAACCTTTCATCCCTGAATCATTTCAAACCCTTGTTCCCTTAAATCTCTGAATCCAAACCCAAACCCAAACCCAAACAACAGTCCATATCAACTTCTTAAAATGCATACAGAGGATCTAGAATTTGAGGGGAGATATCTGCTCTTGTGTGAAAATGAGCTGAGCCACTCATGATGGGCAAATATCAAGCTTGCAATCCATCTGATAAAATAAACAAGCTATGCTCAAGGATTGATATAATTCTTCTTTTCTCTTTTTTTTTTGGCCTGTAACATATTCATTTTATGTAAACAAAATTGGTTTCAAGTTCAACCTAGGTTTGAGATCAACTTGTCCATATTAAAAGATTTTACTCAAATTATAACTTGATATTAAAATAGTCTAGCTTGAGTTCCACACTTGAACTTCAACTCAAATATCTTGTTTGACAAGTAAAACGCAAGTGAAGAGTAGACTCAAGTGAAGCGGCAATTCCAAACAAGCTAAAAGTTCTAAAGTTCAAGCTCAATCGTTGAACCCAATTTTCCAATTACCACCTGATTGCTTCCAAAATATTTAAATAAATTAAATTAATTCAGTTTACAAATAATTAAATGCATGCATTCAACATAGTAAGAAAAACTTATCTGGCTAAAAAAAATGCAAATACAGAACTTTTAATTCCGAGAAAATTCTAAAAATTGGGCACTAATTTCATTAAAAAAAAATGTACCCATTCATAATATGATTCGGTGATCAAGCATCTAATCCTTTAAAATTCAGAGATTATGGTGTTCTAAGATCTATTAAATCATAGATTCCAGCTTCAGAAAAATTCTAGATCCAAAATAGAATCAATCACTTCTTGAAAAAAAAAAAACTCAATAAAAAAAAAAATCAATCAAACTTTCTCAACATGCAATGAATTAATGAAATTAATCAATTTCTTTTATAGTCCATCAAACCATAGAATTGTTTGATTTCCTCTATCACCTCTGATTAGTCCGATTCCACCAACATATTTCTCTAATTCCTTATTGCATGTCAACTTCGACTAAGGGAGAAAAAAGAAGAAAAAAAAAACCCTAAGTCATTGTTAAAAAAGAAAAAAATCAACTCAATACCTTTTGCTTGTTCCGTAGCCTCAAGATTGCACTCCTGGATGCCAAATCAGCACCATAGAGACGACGATTCAACCAAAACGAAGTCATGTTCTCGATAAAAAGTTCTCCCCCAGAAAGTGCTTCCCCTCTGGCTCTCGCTATTTTGAGAAGAACATGTCCGGTATCTCTCAACGGATTATACGAATGAATAAACTGAAGAGCATTCGCGACTTCGCTCGACTTCGCGCGACTCCTCGCGTTTTCGAGGTTTTGGTTGCGTGCGGTCGAACGTCCTCTTACTATTTAAGTTATTATAAAGTGAGTATCCACGTGATATCTTTTATGCGCCGCGAGCCCATCTACAATTAATTTGATTAAAAACGTATGAATAATGTAAAGACTCACGTGATTTCCACCTAATTTTTTCCTTTTGTAGTACCGAGTAAAGGAAAAAAGAAAACTTAAAAAAATATACCGGAGGGAACGAAATTACTTACTTTTTTACTCTTTTTTCCTGACTTATTTATTTAAATAAATTGTTACTATCTCTATGTTTAAATAAATATTGTTTATTTACTCAAAATTTATTTTAAATTAGTTGTTATTTTTTATTAAAAA